AACCGTCAAATGCCTCTGAGACTCCCTTGATTAGTTTCAGGGCAATCCAATTCCTCGACTCCTCCCCTTTCTCTCTGTCTAGTTCGCCCTGTGACTGCCGTGACAATGAGCAGACAGCCGCTGCACGGTAGAGAAGAAGAGCCTACTCCCTCTGTTCTGCATGGCTAGTCCCTCAGACCTGAAAACATGACTGTGGAGAGGGAGGAAGAGAACAAGGATAGATTTGGGGGAAAAAAAGCCCAAATACACTGACTGGTTTCTAACCAGTTGATTTCCTTCCTTATATGGTGGTCCAGCTTTCATGTGGATGGATGAGGCGTTTGCATGCTAGTGGCAAGGTTGTGAATAACCTTTAAATTGGCTTGATGAAGCCATTGCTATAAAATCCCAAGTAGTTGCTAGGCTATCCTTATCTTAGGTGGTTTCTAAGATGCTGCTAGGCCATTGCTATGGAATCCCAAATGGTTGCTAATGTGTTGCTAGGCCATTGCTATGTTATCCCAGATGGTTTCTAAGGTGTTGCTAGGGCATTGTAATCCCAGGTGATTGCTAAGGTGTTGCTGGGATGTTGCTATACCATCCCAGGCCACTGCCAAGGTGTTGCTAAGCCACTGTAATGGAATCCCAGATTGTTGCTGAGGTGTTGCTGGGTTGTTACCATGATATTCTAGATGGTTGCTTAGGTATTGCTAGGATGTTGTTATGTTATTCCAGGTGGTTGCTATGTTGTTGTTAGACCATGCTATGGTGTCCTAAATGGTTGCTAATTTATGTGTTTGTGTATAAGCTATATAGTATGTGCTGGTATGTGTGTGATTCTGTACATGTCTATGAGGGGCGGCGAGAGAGATTTCCTTTGTGGTCATTTGTCATTTGTGGCTGTTAGATTTAAATTGAACATTCTGCCATTCATTTCCTTTGGGAAAAAATCTTGTTTGAACACTGTATGATAACTGCACATGTGATCTGTCCCAAAAGCACAAGTGCACTATTCCTATATAGGCTCTATGATGTTTGTCAAGCCAGCTTAATTAAATATATTAGTATGAAGACCATTTATGAAGCTGAAAGGACCTCCACGCGCTGTAAAAGTTACCAGTTTAAGAATGGAATGGTACATCCAACCCAAGAACCACTGAGGAATTTTCATGTTTATGAGTGTATTTCAGGTGAAAAAAGACCACATCAGTCATTGTGTAATTAATAATTTTGGCAACCTTGTTAGTTGTGCATGCAGACAAACCTTTTCCACATACAATCGCAATCCCCTGGTAATGTACATGTTGCTTTGATGTGCAGGGCGAAATTATAAGGGTAGGATAATGGTTCATTTTCCGCATGAAAGGCTTTCAGTGGAGCACTTCAAGCGGCAAGAAGGAATGGAGTGCTCCTTACACTGGAACAAAAGGTACACCTGAATAAATTCATCCTTCTTTTGCTGGCGCATGATGGCTCATATACGCTCTAGGCCATGGTTTTCAGTTGCTGTGATGACTAATTCCAGAGGCTCGGAAAAATAACAAAGATTACTTTACTGTGACATGGATTTACGTAGGTAAAGGGCCACATAGCTTGTTGTGGTTTACTGTGAAGAGATGTAAGTGATGTGAGTCATTTTGTCAACAGAATACCTGTCAAACATTTCCCTACCAACTTACGCACATGAATTAAAAATCGCAATCGAAAATCTTCAAGCATTAAAAAATTATTGAGATCTACTTACGACTTTTTAATTTCCTTCACATTTACAGAAGTTCATATTTTAAAATATGCTTTTTAAAAATATTTTTAAAATGCTTTTGTAATTGCCATTGTGATTCCCAGCCTATTTACATGCCTATTATTCTGTAAATACAAGAAAAAAAAGGAATAAAAAGGAAAAGAAAGCAAGCTGGTTGAGTTATTCTTAAGGTATAGGAGTGTGAAGTGGAAGTGTGGACCATTTAAGGGGTTAAATGGCCTGCATTAAATTCAACAGTAATTGTAAATGACAACAAATAGCTTCAAATTCAAGAACTGCTTCCTGTGGTCATAAATTATTAACACAGTCAAATCATTTGAATGAATGTAAATCATGATCAATTATTTTATTATTATCAATTATTATCAATTTGCCTGAGTTTGCCTTATTTGCTCAAATTTGACCCTAAAGAAAGATTTTTTATTAAAAAAGCAGCTCATTTTATAGCTTTTTTATATGTCAGTAGACAAAATAAGCTAGCAACAGTGGCCACGGCTACAGGTGATCAAGGGCCATATGTGTCTAGTCCAGCGGTTCTTAACATTTTCACAACGCGACTCTTTTTTGAGGTGAAAAAACATTTTGCGACCCCCTCTTTGCCAACCAATCCCCCACCACCTGTCCCTCCTGCCACACACCAATATACACACTAAAAAGATTATAGAAAACAATCAAGTAGTAAGGCTGCTCACTTACTGGGCCTGCATTGCTTATAGCACCACAAACCTCAAATCTTTAGCCTGACACTGAAAAAACGCTTAAAGTTCAGGGGTCAGGACAAGGTCAAGACCTTCCTTCAGTAATGAGCTCACCCAAAGGAAATCGACATTATCGACATTAGCATGACTTCTGTGGCCTGTAGGTGGAGCCACTCAGCTTGTGTCCTCACTTGTGTCCTCTTCTCATAATTTAATGGCGGTAGCGCCACTCTCACGACCCCCTGGGGACCACATTGCCGACACGTTACGGGGTCCCGACCCCTATAGGTCAAGAACCTCAGTAACTCAACACAACTCGGTTCACTCCTGACTACTCTAAACAAAATACACCAGACTTTTACATTTAAAGCGGTGGTCACATGGCTAACAACTAGCAGAACCAATGTCTAGCATTATCGCACAGCAAATGATACACAGCGTCCAAAATGTACTCAACAACTTCCAGCACTGCCATTCATCATCTCTCCATTGCTGCATTAAAGTAAACCCAGAACCAAAGCACTAAAAGCCATAGTGGGTCAAGGTTTGAAGTTTATACCAAGAAGGAGTCAGTTTGAAATGTTAATCATCTTTTTCATCTCAGTAAACTTTACTAGCCAAGTCTCATTTCACCTTGTAACTCTTACCCGGAAAACAGTGAGTTTGTGAAGAGTAAGTTAACTGGTACTAAATGTGATAGTTACTAAATCGATCAAAATTGATATTCAAAAATGTTCATTCCATTAAAACCATATGAGTACAGTAAGTTTGAATATAAAATGTAGACTTATTCCGAACTTGAGATGAACTTGAGCTCATATGTGCTCTGCCCAGTCAGCCATGGTAACATCACAAATAACCTAAGAGCAAATGATCCCTTTTTCATGATCAAAACCCTGCAAAACCATTCCAATGGAACAATACATGAACGTAGCTCAGTGTTCTCTTTCTTCTCTCTTGTCTACATTATTGCCAAAGAAGACAGCAGTCAGAAGACTTGGCATTCCGGCTATGGGAGCCAACATGTGGGCTAGGTGATGATGACTAAACGGACAGTGAACCCAAAATGTGCCATTATTTTTTGGATTTTTTTTTAATTAAATCTTCTTTTGTGGGGAACTTCATTTTCTTTTCAAGCACTTTGTTTTTTAGCTACCTAGTTCTAACTTCCACGTCAAAGGAATCCTTTACAATTGCTACCAATTCAAAAGCTGCTTCAAAGTATCATGAATGACATTAAACTCAAATCCTAATTTAAATTACTGAGAATTTCCTTAAATGCTAAATGCTTATGGCTACAGTCACATTACCTGACTGAAGTAGCACAAATCCATTTTTTGCCCTAATGTGACACAGATCAGCTGTTTGGACACGCAAATCTGATCTTTTCAATGCAGATGCAAGTCACTTTCAAATGTGCTCCTAGATGGGATGCATATCCGATTTGTGGCCGAGCGACCTCAATTGGAAAGTTCAGGTCGGAATTCATGTGGGTTTTTTCCACTGTGCATGCAGAAACACATCATTCAGTATTAACGTGGCAGCAGTGCCGAACCCGAAGTTAGTGCAGTAAACAGTGCAAAAGCATCTGACCCTTTTTCACCCTTATCTTGCTTGAATAATGAACAGCTGAGAGCTGCTTAGAGTGAATTATCTTCACGATTAAGGCTTGTACTGCTGGTTAGTATGTTTGTTGTTCATGATGGACGTGATTCATTCAAGTGACATTATTGATTAAGCTGTGCACATTTGGGTCGTTTTAGGATGCAAGTTCGTTCAAATTAGTGACAGATTTGAGTAATACCAGAGAGTAATCAGAATGGAGAATTCTTGTCAGCTTATATATAGACTCATGCATATAAGCACAAGAACACTCAGTCAAACTATGAATGTATAAATTCAAGAATATATCTATAGTAATTTAAGGGTTAAACCCTCAGCCCCCACCTCAAGAGGAGTCTTGTACAGTGGATAGAGATTAGATGAAGCTGAAGTTAGTGTCTTATTCTCATTTCTCATTCCACCTCAAATGATATAGCAGTTACATTCAGATGCCTGTGTGGGCGTTGGTGTGTAACTGCTGCTCTGTTTACGATGGAATGGAAATATGAATAAGATCAGCCTTGAGAGATTAACGCTTAAAATTCAGCATAGCTATGGAGTTCATTACATTTTACCTAATGACTGTAGCAATTGCTTGTGTGGATCATGTGAAGATGAAAAAACAATTCCAAGAACAGCAAAAAAAACCAAGATGTCACAAAGAAGAATGAAAAGGCTACTTAAGGATGAAGACATATCTGAGCGGGTGGGCAGTGAGATTAGGTCATATTTAACATAAAAGTCTCACCAGTTGCTATTTTATCACTACAATAGCCACCTTGATTATCTCAGTGTAGCATATAAATAATAAATAACATAATCAAGTCGTAGGTGTTCTTATTACGCAGAGTGCCCAGTGAAGTATAGATACTTTCCACAGTGTATAGATGTCTTGTCATTGTTTAAGTAACCAGAAGACATAGAGTTTTATAGGAGAGCCTCTGATCAAACTGTGCGCCTTTATATAAATGATTTATTCAATATGTTATCTCTGTGTATACAATGGATTTGACATAAACTGTACAGTGCAGACTCTTTTTGCATATATGTACTGTATGTAAAGTTTAGCGGTACATACCAACATTTTTTTAAATCACTTGTTTGTATTGATACACATAGCCTACCACATGCAGGTCTCCAATAGCCTTCCCCCTTTATTACCATGCAACAGTTGAAACATGTAGATGAACCAAGTATGGAAACCCCAGAGAAGAAACCAAAGACAAAAAAGAAGGGAAAAATAGTACAGATCATCCTGCCGTTAATATTCTCGACACATAGAAAAGACAGGGAAAACAGAGTCCTCTCTGAGATCTACACGTCTATGTGAGATGAACGGCCACGGCTACAAGAAAACGTACAAATACGTAAATACGTATGGAAAAGAAAACGAAACGGGGGGAGGAACATTACAGGAGGATATATAAACGAAGAGCAAAGATTGTACATTTACATAGCAGTCATTTTACAAAAATAAATCCAGTCCTCTATGGAACCAGTTCACTGGTCAGCAGGGCAAAATATACAGTACGAGGGCCCAGCAGAAAGAAATGTGCACACTTTAGGATGAGCATACAAGAAACAGCTTTAAAACAGAAAAACACTTCAGTCGTTCTGGTAAATGGGAGAAAATATATCACTGTTTTAGACACTCTAAGATATCCCATTAAGAAAACAGCTGACAGAGAAACATAAAAGCCAACAGATGAATTACTAATGTTGCTATTTAGCAACTTAAACAGAAACATCATTCTGCTCTGAAATTAAGTGTACCAATTAATATTAGCGTGACAGCATTCGCACCTCTAAATAGATAACAATTGTAATGAAAGATTCTCAACACCTCAAATTCAGCAAAACAGTGGAATAGCATGGCGCAACCGATTTGAACATGGGGTACAGTTAAATATGATAATACTATACTTGCTTTTAGAATGACAAAAACCTCTCAAGATGGCAGATTACAACGTAGAATTGTTAAATAAGCAAGGTGAAAATGCTTCATTATTAAACTGTGAATTGCTTTCAAGGTACTCTAAATCTCCAAGTCCTATAAACAGCTTTACTGATGCACAGTGATATTTAAATACCCTTTTTTTAAAACGTAGATTAAGATGGTAAGTACAAACGCTCTAACATCGTCTGTGGACAAAGAGAAAAACAAAATGAAACAAACATCAAAACAAGTCAAACATGCTACTATGCTCCTTAAGGAGACCGTTGAGGAAGCACCCTATGCTAAACAGTAACTGATCGTCCTTTTATATGTGGAGTAATAATCAACTTATAATCTACGCCAACTTGGAAAACGTCCTGACATGCTGCTAACTCTAGCGTAAAAAACAGCATCTTAAAAATAAACACAGTTTTCATATCAACCTGCGGGCCGATGCTGCACCTTTCCTTGCTTTTGTAAGGTTGAAACTGCTACCATTTTTAATTTTTTTGCCATCTCTTCTGCTACAATGAAAAGGCAAAGAGAACAGCACTACCTTAAGTCCATCTCTCGAAACGTGGCCATGACCTGTGCGACAGCATCAATATACATTCACCCATCCTCCCCAGGCCTGGCTAAGGACAACTGCGTTTTTGTTTATTTACATCGGGCATTTCAACAAACAATCGCAGTCGTTGGTCGAGGGCTTCACCTATTAGTTACAACAAGATCTGATTTATCAGAAAGAGCCCAAAATTGGGGAAAAACCTTAAAGGCCGGTAACTATTGACTTCAGACGCCAAAGTGAGGTAACTGGCTTGTATAATCTGTGAGTCAGGTAAGTGAGCCGAGACTGGCAGATAAAATCAAGGGTGTCTGTGATATGTATAGCGTTCCATTGTGAAGGAGCCGCGTCCACCCTGAATGCCTAGCGACAAGATTATCGATGCCACGTCTCTCGACGGTCCTTGCGAGGTTTCGACTACAACCTGTAACATCTTTGCCAACTTTCCCTGCAGTTCTGTGAGCCATTCTTCAAGTGCAATGATAATTAAAAAGGAGAAACTAACCAAAGAGGTGGTCCTCTATCTAATTTTGCTGCTTCAAACAATCGTTACCATGTTGCCGCACTGTAAACACGTCTAAAGAAGCGAGACACAGCAGACAGCTTCTTCTCATCTCCAAGCTACTCTTCACGTAATTTGTGTAATGTAAAAGCACACAACAATCCTCAGTCCTGGATAAGCTGGCTAACAGAAAACAATGTGATAGGAAAGGACACATAAAAGGAAAAAAAAAAAGATAGGCAAACAAGACACAGGTAACAACAATGACAGAGTTGATCTGTGTCTGTACAACAATCTATCCAGACAAATGCTGGTGTGCTGTGGTATTCTAAAAGAAAAAGAACAGTAACATGAAAGGTCCAACAGAAGAATTGTGGGTAGCTGTCAGCAGGCAAAAAGCTACCAGACGAGGCAGATGAAAATATGTCATTCTCACAGAGGATTGTCACAGGAAAGAAAGGGGAAATGAAAGAAAAGGGAGCTTTGAAAAGGCATTCCGTATCGCATAGGGCATTCCAATGACAGAGTTTGTTAGTGCTGAGCGTTCAGCGGTCCCCTCCTCCTCTCCCTCCTCCTCAACCTCCTTTCCCATCTCCTCCACACTCTTGCAGTCCTTCCAAGCAATTCAGCCTTGTCCTCCAGCCACACCCGCCCCTTAGTTCAATCGTGCCAGGGGCTAGACTCTTGGGGGGAAGAGTGGTAGAGGAGGGAGTTTTTTTTCTTTGTCGTCGTTACTCGTGGTTCAAAGCCACGGACAGCCGAGTGCGAGTTTTTTTTTGTTTCGAGAGTTGTGGACGTGGAGACTCCCTCAAGAGGGGAGGGGAGGTGGGGGGTGCAGGGCTATGTCTCCTTGTCAGGCTTGCTGACAGGCTTGCCGCCGTTCATGACCACCGGCTCTGTGCTTTTGCTGGGAGGGACTCCAGCCTTGGGGACTGCTTCACCCACATCATGCAACGAGGGCTCGCGGTACATGGCAACTGTGGATAAAAGAACAAACATGAGAATTTAGACTCTTAAAAAGTAAAGGGGCCAAAAATGTTCTTGGGATAGACGTTGCAAAGCAAGCACTTTTGGTTCCCTAAAGAACCTTTAAATGGATGGTTCATTAAAGGACCATTCTTTGGAAATGAGATGTGAGAGCCTGAAGAGCCTTTTTACTGTTTAGAGAATCTCCACATAATGTAAAGGTTCTATACCACTTAAAGAGATGCACATCCAACCCAAGAACTATTTAGGTAGCTCTATTTTTAAATGGAGTCCCACAGATTTTTCAAAACTTCCTGCATAATTAAATCATTGAAATGCAAGCAAAGTCATTTAGACTGGTTTTGATCTGAAATGGTGAATTGTTGAGTAACTTTACTGACTGATATCTTTATGATGGTGGAGATAGGAACCAGGAGTTAATGCAACACAAATACAGCCTTTTTATTAACAGTCAAAAACGAGCAGTTCATCTACACGTCTTTTGAGTTTCTATGTGTGATGCTGTGGTAGATCCAGGAAAATACATTTTCATTGGGGAATATCTTGCATTACAAAACGCTGCATGCACCTCTCTACCATCAAAGATGTTAACCCATTCAAATCCCAGACTTATTACAACTAAGATTTATTATTCAATAACTACAAAAACTTCAATGCAAACTGGCTGAGCTATTCTCAGGGTATAGAGATATGCAATAAAACTTGGGGCCCGCTGGCTATTTAAGGGGTTTAATATGTTTTAGACCAAATACTATCATAAAACAATGACTCAGGCATGAAACAATGTATTTGCAACCATTTCATGTAGTAACTTTCTTTTGAGGCTTGTAGAAACGTTTGATCACTATTTTATCACCACCACTGTAATAATTCTGACTCTTTTCTCCAGAATGAAGCGTCATATAAAACCACCCCCAATGACTTTATTTACATCTTAATGATTTAATTATGAAGAAATAAAAAAAATGGGCTAAATATCCCCTTTAAGAGTGAAGAGGAAGCCTGACTCCTGACCAAGATTATAGCTACCAATCCTTTGATAGTTCTTCCCAAAGGTGTTCACTGCAAATTTCACTTTGAAACATCTTACAGCACTTTGTCACTTTAAGCACGCTAATTACTTTTTGCGAATTGCTTTAAACTTTAGATCCAATCACTCACAGGCAACTAGCAGACCTGGCAAGAGAAAAGCACTGAACACAGTCATGAGCAATCCAAAGTGGTACCTTCTATGGGCTTGGGAAGAAAGTGTGCAGCTGGTTTAGTCTTTTTCACTCGGTTCCCCTTCATGGGCTGGCCCTCTTTATTGAGACCCAGGAACCAGGCTCGACCAGACTCCTGCTGTCTGTAGAGCATGGATGAGTAGATGACGTAGTAGTTCTCAAAAACCGATTCTTTGAACTTGCATTCTGCCGTGAAAAGCTCCTGCAAGACAAAAGAGAAGGCGTTCAGAAGATGATGTAACTACTTTTCATTAGTTTCGTCAGAGATTTTGCACCAGTGTTTCCTGGTAATCCCAGCGGATCATGATCTGACATCTGACACTGCAGAAATTTCCCTCAACCCTTTTCTCAAGTTAGCTTGAACATCACATGCTTGCCATCACATGCTGCTTGTGCAGGGACATAATTAAGCTTGTTTTTTGCATACAGTGTTGTTATTATTATTAGGGATGTCAAAGTTGTACTTAGGTAATTACACAGTTTTTAGTTATAATTATAACAATATATTAATGTGATAAATGATTAATACCACTATTCTTTAACGCACTGACTATATACATGGAATAATATTAAATATTAATCAAGTTTGAACAATCTTGGTCAAATTAGATGTTTCACTGATTTTCTAAGTGAAAAGTAAACTCTACAGGGAACAAACTTAATTACGGCATTTCTGCTCATTTTAGTGCGCAATGTCTGTTTATTTATTTATTATATCTCATATAATGATATGTTGTACCGTACTGTACAAAAGTCAGAGAGCCTTTAACACAGCTTTCAGTCTTTTCAGGAGACTGGCCTTCAGTTTTTCAAAGAAATCTGCAGGGTTCAGTTCAGTCCTCAGTCACAATCCAAGTAATCCGAAACACATTCAGTTCATTGTTCTGAGAACAACACCAGCTTCTTTGGTTAATTTGCAAATTTTTCAATTTTGGTCATTTTCAGGAAATAGTCTTGGTAACAGCTTCTTGACATCTGCACATCCTTTCAGACTCACAGCATTGTCTTCTCACAGTGGACGGATGGACATACATTGTGGATTTTTTTCAAATCTGAAGCAAGAGTGGTGTTCCTATCTCTCAAAGATAGAAGTCTTAAGTACTGTTTATCTGAAAGTCACATGTTTTATTTCAGGTGTCACATTTTTTTCGATATCTTTTGATAATCCTTTGATCTCTGGTTTTGGAAACTACAGCATTTTCACTTATTTTCCTATGATTTTCCTTATGCAAGTGGATTATATCTACATCTCATCTTCTCAGAACTATCTCCTGAAAAATAACTTGGACTAAAATAACTTGTATTTAATGGCTGTTTTGACTGGAATTTAAAATATGAAGGGCAGTCTCTGACTTTTGCACAGTATATAACATAATGAAAACAATGTTATTGAATTACTAAAACTAATCAATGTGTATTCTGATTATTTTGTCCACTTCATTGCTTTTTAAATGGAACAAAATCTTTCTTTAGGGTACAAATTTGGACTAATAAATGCGATTCATTAAGTCAGGTACCACAATACAATAAATCTGTTTATATCATCATAATATCTGTTCAGTGGTGGATCTATGAGGTTGTGGGGCTGTTTGTCTTCTAAAGGCCCAGGACAATTTATGTGGATAAGTGGTATCACAGACTCCATAGAGTACCAGCAGACATAAAATCAAAACCTGACTGCCTTAGCCAGGGAGCTTAAACTGGGCCATAGTTTGGATCTTGGAGCAGGACAATGATCCAAAGCACACCTCAAAATCAACACAAAAATGGTTCACTGACCACAGAATTAAAGTTCTGCCATGGCCACCCCAGTCCCATGATCTAAGCCCCACAGAAAACCTGTGGGATTAGCTGAAGACCTTGAGTGTGGAATCTGGAGAGGTTCTGTATGGAGGACTGGTCTCAGATCCTTTACCATGTGTTCTCTAGTCTTACTGAGCATTACAGTACACTCTCAGAAAAAAGGTATGAAACTGTCACTGGGGCAGTACCCCTCTTGTCACTGGGGTGGTACCCGCAAGGGTACATCTCAGTACCTTTGGTTCGGGAACATAATTGTACCATAATCCACTGAAATGATATTTTCTAAGTTGTACTGACTCCACACACCCTGTCATTCTGTTCTGTTCTGTTTTACAACATTAGATTATGAACAGATACAAATTTATACTTTTCCACTAAGAAAACCTTATTTAAGGTACACAATTGGACTGTTGTACCTCTGAGGGGACCTGCACAGTACCTTTATTTCTAACAGTGTAGAAAACTCAGAGCTGCTATATTTGCAAAGGGAGGCTGCACAAAGTATTGAATGAAGGGGTGCCAATAATTGTGGCACACACAGATTTGAGAAAAAAAATATTTATTTCCTGACAAGATTAAGTTCTTTTTCAATCATTGTACTTCAAAAAAGGTTAGATTTGTGTTAAACATTTTGAATGAAAGATCAAAAGGATCAACAAGAAAGAATTTTTACAGCCTGTTTTGCTCATGTTTACCAGGGGTGCCAATATTTGTGGAGGGCGCTGTATAAAGCATTGTGAATACAGGATTTACAGTAAATGTTACCTGAATTTCTAGCAAGCTCTAGTAGTTTTTTTCCCCTCGTCACCTAAAGATATCTTGTATGGCCCATGAGATGTTGCCAAGGTAACACAAGCAAGAGTTCAAAAAAAAGGAACATGCAATTTAGGGAAGTTGGCTGCACATAGAACTGCACTTATACATGATTGGAATGAAAGCCTCAGCAGGATGGAAAACGCTCGACAGCATGCATTTTCAAGGGCTTTAAAGGAATCAATCAGTACCAAAATCATAAACACAGATGATGTGCTGCAGTAACATAGCTTGTGGAATACCATTTTCAACATATCTGCCAGCCGTTACTTTCAAGCTTCTAAAATAAACAGCGACAACAATCGGAAGAACAAATGAATTATCCATGCAGAGAGAATCCGTTCAGGGAAGCGTGCGCAACAGGGGCTCCCCCTTCCCTCTCTGCCGAGAGCCATCACGGGTACTCAATCAATGTCTGCCAATGGCCAGAGGAGCGTCTCATTTCATTCTGACCACACAAAGAGGAGAGGAAAAATGTTCTTTATTCTTTTGTGACAGAGCAGCTAAATCCCTATACAAGGCTTCTAACAAGGTGCTCGATTGTCCTTGTGGAATTGCTGAACTTGCGACTGGTCATGTCCTTTGGTGGGGGGTTGAATCAAAAGCCAAGAAGTCCACTTTGGCCATTCTTAAGGTACTGGACAATCTGTACCATTCGCTGAGAAACCACCCCCTTCGCTTAGCAGCGGTATTTATTTTCCTGCGTCACAGCTAGGACGTTAATTAGCCAAGGCTTTTTCAATTCACATACATCCATAATCAAGAGCAGGCAATCATTCAGACCTCTCTCTGGGGGGGCTCTTCTTCTATTGTGTTTGCCGTCATAGCAACTCACAGTTAACCTCCTGGCTCTCAGGAAAATGGTTTTGACGTCTCTCTAATTCAAAATTCGGCTGCATAACATTTCCATATTTTCCCCCAAGGGCTTTGATTTGCTGTCGCCGATGGTCAGGATGAGGTAAAAGCTCAATAGTTGGGAGACGAAACCAGCGGTAATGGAGAAAATCACTTTTCAGCTGTAAAGCTCCCAAGGGACGTGGTTCTCTCCTCACGACGGCACAGTGAGTAGGAGTGCTCTAACACTGTACAGCGCCACGAGTGCTAATAACCCTGGGGAATTGTGGGCAAAGTAAACAAATAAAGTAAAATAAAGGAGGTAGGTACAGAGGCAGAGAGCCGAACTGAGTCAGGCTGCGTGGCGGCATAAAACTTTAAAGACTAAAAGGGCATCCTCCGCAGCTTTTGAATTTTTCAGAAGGAGAGGCATGTACTTTTTTTGCGTGTGCCAAAAAAGATTGGGATGTGGGCAAGCCTTCAAACGACAGGCTTGCTTCTGGCCTAGACACCTCTAACACGGATGGGGGAGCACAATACTGTAAAAAGATATTTACTTTCCCCATTTCGAGTACGGAGAAGCACCTTGGAAACGCTTTAAAGCTAATGGGCTTTCAAAGCTGCTGAGAAAAGAAAAGAAAAGAAAAGAAAAAAATCTCCTCTTCACCCGTAGCCATGTAGCGCAGGCACATCATTAGAGACTGAAAGCCCTTAACAAAGATCAGAGCTTTGAAACAAGCCAAGGGGAAGCGGAATGATGCTATGTGCTAAGGCTAATTGGTAGACACTTCAGCTCACTCAGAGGAACTGGAGCTCCTGCTTGCTAGCATTACTAGACCTCCCAGAGGTTACACACCTCCCAGAGATGGTTCAGCTTTGCCCTTCAGTATTGATGATAAAGACTATACAATCACACAAATACACACACACACACACACACACACACACACACACACACACACACATACATGTATTCAGTCATATGGATGGCCAAACATTTGTATATAACTTAAATGTCTGTCTTAAATGTGTACAATAAATTGAGAGCTTGCTTTGTCTTCCTTTCTCAGATACAAAATACTTATTAACCAAAGTGCTTGTTTTTTCTAATTTTACAGGTTAATACAACTAATTGCTTATTAACTAAAGGACTATATGATACAAACCATATATATGTATAAAATATGTTGTACACATGCCCACTTGCCTCCTACAGTGGAGCCACAATAGTCTCAAGAGTGAGATTTTCCAGTCAAGATAAACTTTAACTGATGTATCTTGAAGGTAGGAAATTTTTTTTAGAAAAAACTACAAGCACTTTTAGGTGGATACTTAAGGGTGGCTATTTGAAATAACAACAGCTTAGCAACCACCTGGGATACTATAACAACAGCTTATCAACACTACAATGACTGCCTGGGATTCCATAGCGATGGCCAAGGAACATCTTAGTAACCACCTGGGATTTCATAGCAACTTAAAGTTGGTTCACGAGCTTTCCCTTCTAGTTTAAACTTATCCTGCAGGAAACAGTCAGAAACATTACAGATGTCCTGGGGGAGAAGCCCCATGTAAAATGAATCATTTCCAAAGAATACCTAAGACTGGTTGTCTAACTAAAATATGATTATGTAAACAGCACAATTTGACTGCACCTCTTGCAATACCACACTTTACTGAGAGTTTTGCGTGCATGTAATCATAACTTGTGAATATTATGAGTAAATTCTGACTGTATTTCTGATATTTGCT